GCCATCTTGGTTGGCAGTTAATTTGCATATCTTGCTGATTAGCCAATGGGAAGGGTAGAGAAGTTACGGTTAATTACCATGTTTCTCTATTATTAGATAGGATTGCTTGATTCTTTTTATCAACACTCTCTAAAATAAAGGATGACCAGCTATTTTGAGAAGAGGACAATGATAAGCATCTTTTCTTTTTTATTTATTTTTATTCATTTATTTAAATTTATTGGGGTGACATTGGTTAATAAGATCATATAAGTTTCAAGGATACATTTCTGTGAAACATGATGTGTATTTTACAAGAGGGCCAAGTGCATGGTGACGGAAGATTATTTGACTTTGGGTGGTGGGCATACTAAGCACCCTTACTTTAGTATATTATTTTAGAAACTTTCAGTTTCTTATGTCAATCAAATAAATTAATGACAGATTTATTTAGCATTTCTATATTCCAGGCATTATAAAAAGTGTTATACAGACTCAAATATGAGTAAGACTTGGTCCTGGTCTTTAAAGATCTTTCAGTGTAGTGAACTGCTGATTAAGATAGAACTATATTAAATGAAGTGAATAATAATCAGTAAGAAATTTATAATGTAGAGAATTTTAGAATATTTTGCATATCTAGCATTTTATTTGATTTTTATTTTTTTGCTTCTATGTTTCTGCTGATAGTTTCATGTATCAAAAGCATGTTTTCTTTTACTTTATTGAGATAGTTATAATAGCCATTTTATTTTTTAAATGTTTTATGTTTAGTCTTGTAATTTTAAATAATACATTTTTATCGAGACACAATTCACAAATAACATTAAGGTTTACAAAATTTATGCATTTATATGCTGCAATATCCTTACCACCCTAGCTTTAGCTAGCACCTCCATCATATTATTTTGAAAATTGTCTGTATATTTACCACCACAAGTAATACAATATACAGGTGATATATTATAGAATTGTACTAGAGGTCCGGTGCACGAATTCATGCACAAGTGGGATCTGGCCGGCCCACCTAAATGGAGACCCATCGGGCTGGGCTGGCAAGGGGAAGGGCCATGCCTGGCTGGGGGGAGAGGCCACAGACGGTTGGCTGGCTGGTCCCGCCCCCAATTAAGGTGTTTGGGGCAGATCAGGGGCTGGGATGGCCCGAGGGGGAGCCAGTTGGGACCGGATCAGGGTGGTTGGCTGCTACAGTGCATATCATAACCACCGGTTGTTCTGGTCATGCCGCCATTCCAGTTGCTGGGATTTTATATATACAGACTAGTAGCCCGGTGCACGAAATTTGTACACATTAAAAGGGAATTAATTGTCCTAACCTGTTTGGCTCAGTGGATAGAGCATCGGCATGTGGACTCAAGGGTCCCAGGTTCAATTCTGGTTAAGGGCATGAACCTTGGTTGCAGGCACATCCCCAGTGGGGAGTGTGCAGGAGGCAGCTGATCGAT